ATATATATATATATATATATAAACGGACAGCTGAATTGTTTCTCAGAACACTCCTCCTGAAGAGATGCCATGGAGTGTATCTGTAAAGTCCAGAGTGTCACTCACTGGAGTCTTGACAAGCTGATGGGGAAAGAAAAAGCGAGCAGACAGTACGGCATTAGCAGATCATTGTGACGGGGCTTCATGTGTAGACATTTAATGCATATTGTGTGAACAGTTTCAATATCTGTCCTTGCAAGTAAAGTTGTGCTGGAGATAAATCTTCACCTGCTGTGAGCGTGAGTGGTTTATTTGAGTAAAATAAAATAAGTAGGGGAGTGGTGGCGCAGAGGTTAGAGAAGATGGGCCTGTCATCAGAAAGTTTCAGGTCCAACTCCCGGGACTGACAACATGAAAATGTGGGTGGAAAAAGGTGAAAAACACACAGACCTGCCTCCACCCTCATTTGCCCCACTCCGGGCCCTTGAGCAAGGCCCTTAACCCCCACCATCTGCTCCCAAAACCAGGTCTCTCTTGTAGATGAGTTCTCGTGACTGAATGAGATTACCTGTATAAATACAGGGTAAATAAAATAAAAACATCATTTAGAGCATTTTCCTTTAACAAAAAATGTTAAATCAACTCACACGGAAATGCCAGAGAAAACAGATGTGTTTTTAGCAGAGAGAGTGGTCTGCCTACTGTTGGGGGGGGCAGGTCGTTCCAGAGTTTGGGGCCCATGACTGAAAAAGCCTGATCTCCTCTGAGCTTCAATCTTTTTGAAACAGCCTAAAGCAGCTGATCGGATGATCTCAGGGCCCGAGAGGGAACATGCATATGGTTCCAGTAGCTCAGGGAGATAAAGGGGTGCGAGGCCATTTAGGCACTTATAGGTCAACAGAAGAATTTTACAATCTATTGTAGTACGGACAGGGAGCCAGTGAAGGGAGGACAGAACTGGTGTAATATGATCAACCCCACGGGTTCCAGTTGAGAGCCGAGCTGCAACATTCTGGATGAGCTGGAGACGTGAGATGGAGGCCTGGCTGACCCCAGCATATATTGCATTACAGTAGTCCAATCAGGTCGTGATAAAGGCATGGACTAGTTTCTCAAGGTCGGGTCTGGACAACACCAGCTTGAGCTGCTTGCCTTAATTGGAAGAAGTTTTTCTGCAGAGCAGAGTTGATTTGTTTGTCACACTTGAAGTCAGAGTCTAAAACCATCCTGAGACTTTTAACAGACTGCTTAAGATAAGGCTGAAGAGAGTCCAGGTTTACAGGACCAGAGGCAGTGGTTGAGTTGAGGCTAAACACAATGACTTCAGTCTTCTGATCGTTTAAACTTAAGAAATTTGAAGCCATCCATGATGCCTTAATGTCGTCCAGACATGTTAGGAGAAGGTGAATGGAACAAGTGCTAGCTGGTTTCAAAGGCAGATAAATCTGACAATCATCAGTATAACAATGGAATGAAAGACCATGTTTCCTCAGGATGGACCCCAGTGGGAGCAGAGTGAGAACAGAGGGGTCCAAGAATGGAACCGTCAGTATGGTTGTTTAACGTGCTCTTCAGGGAGCATTTAAGGACCAGCTGTCAGAACAATAGTTTATTGCTGCATTAGCACAATCTGAAAACAGAAAGAAACCAAATGTTGTAGAAACCACACATATAAACCATATCCTTTGATTTACTTTGAGATATATAAAGTTATTTGTCTAAATAAAGGTTGAATGAATTTACTTTCAAATATTTAGTTTGGCAGTCTTTAGTTTGATTATGGCACAAAGTAGTGTCATTGTTTTCCAAAGCTCTAGCACAAAATGGACTTTTCTGTCTCCAGAGTGAAGTCTTGTGCACTTCCAAAATCAATGGTGTGCACAAATAAGAAAACAGCTGACCTGCACCTCAACTGCTCACTTAATGGCTTATCTACATTATTTTTTGTGAACTTACAATTAATCATTGACTGAAAAAGGAATACATTTGGCCACAGCTTCACTTCACATACAGATGCAAAGTGTACAGGCCAGTATGAGTTTAACCTTCCCCCAGAAATTATATCCTGTATGTCTTTAAAAAAGTTTCAGAACGTTGTCAGGTAAAAGTTTATTTACTCACTGTTGGTCTGAGGTTTAAGCGTAGTCTGTTTACAAAGTGCTACAAAGGTTTTTCCACAGTACGAGAATGAAGGAGTGTTTTTATACACATGCCTGCATGTGATGACCCTATAAGTATGTGTGCATGTTGTGTATATATCTGCAAATATGTGGGTTTTTTCAAAGTGCTTCTACAGTTACTTACCCAAAAACTATATGTTGTAATTGTAAGATGGACTTATGATAGAATAAAACAAAAAGTAAACTAATATGGGATGTGAATAATTAAGTTTATGCTTCTTCCTACTTCTCTTTGAGCCAGTTTACTGTGTGTGGACGATTTTAATTGTTTTTATTAGATTGTTCTGGCTTGTTGTATTTGTTGTGCTATTCTAACATTGTAAAAATAAGATCTTAACTATCAATTAAACCACTAATGGTAACCTTGAAACAAGCTTGTAATCTCTCTTTTCCCCTCCTTCCTTACGTACTTTATTACAATGTTGAAAAACCGTGTTATTGTTGGTGTGTTCTTACTGGTATTTTAAAGAAATATTTTAATTCTTTTTTATTTAGTAGCAGAAATAGAAACGTTTTTTGGAAATCAATATTCTCCACTGTCAATGACGTTTAGCAGGTTTTGTGCTCTGTGCCCTGGTCCTTCCGAGGTTTTAACCCTTCCCTTCCTTCCAGGTGTACCCAGGCCTCATGGTGACCGCCGGCCTCATCCACTATGTGCTGAACCTGCTGCACATCACCGTCCACATTCGGGATGTATGTGTTTTCCTGGCCCCGGTGTTCAGCGGCCTGACATCCATCTCCACCTTCTTGCTGACGAGAGAGCTGTGGAACCAGGGGGCGGGGCTGCTGGCAGCCTGCTTCATCGCCATTGTTCCAGGCTACATTTCCCGCTCTGTGGCTGGCTCTTTTGACAACGAAGGGATTGCGATCTTCGCCCTGCAGTTCACCTATTACCTCTGGGTACACCTACACACACTGCACCACTTTCCACTCAGTCCTGCCCCTTTGTGATTTAGCTGTTAATCATTGTTCCAATGTCTGACTGTTGTTGCTCAGAAAGTAAAGAATTAGTCAAACTGCGAAATAAGTAAATTTTTAAAGGAATATTAACTCATGTTATACTTTTAGAATGATGAGAAGCTGTAAATGGCAGCGTTATTTTTTCTAAAATGAAATTGGTTGATATCTCTCTGAACTTGAACACTCTATAGCATGAAGTTCTACGCAATCTGTTTGACCCAACACACTGTATCACTGCACATTTCAGACTCACAGTATCACATTATTCCTCCTAGCCCCCACGCTGCCTTGTATGAATTATGGGCACGACTTCTGGTGCAGACCAGAACCGTCATTTGTTTATGTGTGAATATTACGAGCTAATGTTGTTTCTCTGAGCATTGTGGATTTAATTTAAACATGTAGGAACACCACCTGTCAGAGCTCCAACAGGACAATAGAATAATACCGCTGCTGCTGAGGACGAGGGATGGAGGACGAGCTGAAGTAGTGGCTGCAGTACGCCTGTCAATATAACAAACTTTGCTGGGCGATTAATTCTCATAAATTATTGTGATAAACAATAATATTGTTTGGAGACCGTTTTAAATTAATACAAGTACATCCTCTCAAAGATCAATAAACTTTAATTTCAAAAGAACACAACACAGGAACTGATAAATCAACAAAACAACCAAAAACAAAAATAAAATGGACTCTCATTCTCCATCAACAAAAAATGTACCCGTATTTTCCGACATACTTGTCGCACCATCCTATAAGTTGCATCAGTCCATATTTGTCTAATAAAGTGGAAAAATCCATAAATACGTTGCATCTATTATGTGTCACCGCTGACAACCCGGAAATGTGGGCCGGTGTTGTGCCAAAAATCGATGGGCTGCCAAATGGCATCTGCGGGAGCATGCACGGGAGGACTTTAACAAGAATTTAACAAGATTAACACTTAAAAACAATTGTTTGCTCGACATAGTAAATGTGTGTCTGTCTAACTTTTCCTTAATAAATGCACTTTGAGGGTCAAATCAGCTGCATTTCAAAACCCGATACATGGAAGTAAACACTTATATGCGACAAGTTGCTGTGCAAATTAAATAAGATAAGCACCTAAACATTTATTTGTTTGCTTGACATTATAGTGAAGGTGTGTCTCAGTTTAACGTTTGCTTAATAAATGCACTGTAAGGGTCAAATCAGCTGTGTTTCAAAACCCAATACATGGAAGTAAACACTTATATGCGACAAGTTGCTGTGCAAATTAAATAAGATAAGCACCTAAACATTTATTTGCTTGCTCGAAATTATAGCAAAGGTGTGTCTCAGTCTTTGCTTAATAAATGCACTTTAAATTAGCTGCATTTTGCCGGGGCGGTGCAGCTGTTTTAACGATTCCAGGCAACGAGCAGAATGAAGATGGGGAGACTGTGGCAGCCCGATTGAGTCATTAATAGCTGGTGAAGATTCTCAGTCATTCAGGACATGGTAAATTCAAAAAAGATCAACAAAAACAATAAGGTATAAAGTAAAATATAATAAAGTCCAGTTGTTTTTCTCTTGAACTTTTTTGAATTTGTCATTATAGCCGTGTTTACCTATTATATGATACAACAGCATGCCATATTGCTATTACTACTATGCTGCCATCAAGTGGCTGAAAGTGGTTCTGCTCAAAAAAAATTCAGTCGAAAATAAAAAAAAATGGTTTATAAATGTGGGGGAAAAAATCCATTAATATGTCGCTTCGGCCTATAACTTGCAGGGCATGTAAATTATGCAAAAAACTGCAACTTATAGGCAGAAAAATACAGTACTTTAATAAAAACTAAATGCAACAAAAAACAAAATGGAAATAAAAACTACATTCAACCAAAACAGTACAGATTATGAAGTCTGTAAACTAAACTGCCCTTCAAAAAATACTAATCATTAGTTTTATATAGAGAAGATGGGCAAAACTGCCAGTTTTATAAACAAAGTGCAAACTAACAAAAGCACATATCCTGATGCATGCTCAATAATCCAGGTAGAAAAATCCAAAAAAGTTCAATCTGGTCCTCTGGACATTCAAAAAAACAAAAATGCCAAACCACCACCTTCCAACATCAGTAGAGAGGAGAGGGATGCACTCACCACTCTTAGCAAGGACAAAAACATCATCATTCTCCCAGCAGACAAAGGAAGGTGCACAGTGATTTTGAACCAGAAAGACTATCATGAGAAAGTTATGACACTCCTTAGTGACTTAAACACTTATGAACCTCTGAAAAGAGATCCAGGAAGTGGTTACAAGAAGAAATTGATAGACTGCCTGAAAATTTTGGAGCAGGACAAGGCTATTGACCATTTTCTGTACCACAGACTGTACCCGGGGGAGGCCACACCTAGTCTGTATGGTTTACCTAAAATCCACAAACAAGGTATACCTTTAAGACCAATTGTTAGCATGATTAACTCTTGTCACTTACAATGTTTCCAAATATCTGGCGTCTGTACTCATCCCTTTAGTTGGCAGCTCAGAACACCACATACAGAACACCATGGACTTTGTGGATAAGGTGAGGGATGTCATCATGGAGACTGATGAAACAGTGGTCTCTTTTGATGTCACATCACTCTTTACGTGCATTCCTGTTGATGATGCAGTAGAGGTGGTCAGTTTAAAATTAAAATCAGACACCACTCTGAGCAGCAGGACCACGCTTTCCACAGAACAACTGTGTCAACTCTTGAAACTGTGCCTGCAGTCAACCTACTTCACATATGGGGAGCAATATTATAGGCAGAAACATGGGTGTGCTATGGGGTCTCCAGTTTCTCCTATTGTTGCCAACCTGTACATGGAGGAGGTAGAAAAGAGAGCCTTGACGTCCTTTTCAGGGACACCACCAAGTCGTTGGTTCAGGTATGTTGACGACACCTGGGTTAAAATTAAATCTCAGGAAGTCCAACATTTTACTGACCACATCAACTCTGTGGATAAATACATCAAGTTCACATGAGAAGATGTAAAAAATGGCAAGTTGGCTTTCTTGGACTGTGAGGTCTCAGTCTCTGATAGAGGACATTTGCAAACTGAGGTGTACCACAAACCCACCCACACAGACCAGTATTTGCAGTTTGACTCCCATCACCCTTTGGAGCACAAGTTAGGAGTCATCAGGACTCTGTACCACAGAGCAGACAGCGTCCCCACTAGCTCAGGAGCCAGGTAGAAGGAGAAATCCCACACAAGACAGGCTCTAGAGCAATGTGGATATCCTAACTGGGCCTTCTTGAAAACAGAGAAGAAACCCAAACAGGACTCCAGTCAGCCATCAGGTGAAAAGGAGGAACCCAGACCCAGACCAGTGGTCATTCCATATGTTGAGGGAGTATCAGAGAAACTGAGACGTTTATTTTCTAAACATAACGTCCCAGTGGCTTTTAAACCCCAAAATACATTACGGCAAAGACTGGTTCATCCCAAAGATCCAGTCCCCCGGCACAAACAGAGTAATGTTGTGTATGCTGTTCAGTGTCAGGAGGGCTGTGATCAGTCATACATCGAGGAAACTAAACAGCCACTGGCCAAAAGGATGGACCAGCACAGAAGATCAACATCATCAGGCCAGGACTCTGCAGTCTACACTCATCTCCAGGCCAGCGATCACTCTTTCAGGGATGAAGATGTTCACATCCTGGACAGAGAGGAACGATGGTTTGAGAGAGGAGTAAAGGAGGCCATCTTTGTGAAAAGAAATCGTCCATCGTTAAACAGGGGTGGAGGCCTCCGGGTTCAACTGTCCCCCTCTTACAATGCTGTGATTGCTAGTATCACTCAGCCCTCTGTGAATAGTAAACAGCCATCAGTGTGCTAATGATCCATTGTTAGGATGATGGTCCTTCTTGAGCATGTGATCAGCTGGTTTTGGTTGTCGGCAGCAAACTGGTTGATCCACTCTGAGAAGGTGCTATTTAAGAGACTGAGCTGAATACAGCACCTCAGACTGAGGAAGTCTCTCGGATGAGAGACGAAACGTTTCTATTTTTTTTGGCTTTGTTTTGTTTTTTGTTTTTTTGAATGTCGGGAGGACCAGATTGAACTTTTTTGGATAACAAAAGCACTCTGCATTTAAATAAAAGCAGATGTCTCAACACTCATAAGCAGATCTGTAGCTACTTTAGTCTGACAGATTCCAAGCAAGAAATACCAACATGTTGAGTTTTTATTTATAGTTTTGAGTTATTATTCTCCTTAATAATTTGTGTTTGTATGTAAAATTATTGCCAGTGCACAGTAAAAGACAACTGTCTTAAATAAGATTCTACAGGTCTTCAGGTCTACATGCTATTGCTAAATGCTACCGTGTTACGACAAATGCAACATACTGGCTTGCACAGGTTCAGCAGTTTGCCTCGGCCGTTTGGTTTGAATCTGAAGTGCTCCCACGCTGATGCTGCTGCTGCTGCTGCTGCTGCTGCTGCTGCTGCTGCTGCTGCTGCGTTCGACTTTGAAACCAATTCCATTTCGGGTTTTTTCCCCAATGTTAAATAGCGTTTCTTTAGCTTGCTAACTCCTCACGGGGCTCTAATGCTGCAGAGGTACAAGACGATGGGCCTTGGCTGGCTACCCGATAATTCACTCCCCCTTACGTTAAGGAAATGAGAAAGGGAGGCGTCAGTGAAGAGCACCAGACTTGAGCCTTTTGTCATCCAGTGTCTTCAGTAGAAAGAGAGAGACATGAAGAAACGATAAAGCTGATAAATGAAAATGATCAACCTTGTTTTAATTTATCATACCATTAATCTATTTATTGTTTGTCGTGACAGGCCTAGGCTGCAGATTACATCTACTAGCATATTTAGCTACATCTACTAGCATATTTAGCTACATCTACTAGCATATTTAGCTACATCTACTAGCATATCCATGCTCTGCTACCATGGTTAACCAGTGCTTACTGCTACTTCCTGTCTGACAGGAAGTTGTACCCAGACTCATTTAGACAGTAGAGCCCCAGGAAGAAGGTGGATATATGTCAAATTTATAAAATGATCAAAATAAACAGGATGATTGCTTGAAAAGATGTTCAGCTAGTCAGCACTGAGCCTTCAACTTTGTGTTGCTCTTTTGGGAGGAATGTAGCATGAGGTAAAAATGAAAGTCTCCCACCTTCACTCTGTTTGAGTTCCTCCGTCACTCTAAGCAGCAGCAGCAGCAGCAGCAGCTCCCACCTGACTCTTTAAGTCGGGGCTCATTAGTTTCGTTATGCCCTTGTTAGGAAGTGCAGAGGAAAAGATGTGCAGGATTTGGTGTTGTGCTTTGTGCAGGTCATTAAAAGAGAGAAAACACTATGAATAATTCAGACGGTGGCGTTGAGAGATGCAGTGACAACATGGTCTGAAAGAAGGAAACTGCCCCGAGCAGCTCACATGATGAAAACCTGCAGCTGTAGGTTTCTGTGTGAGGTTAATGTTCTGGTGTTTAAACCACAGGTCAAATCAGTGAAGACTGGATCTGTGTTCTGGACCATCGGATGCTGCCTGTCCTACTTCTACATGGTGAGAACAAACACATGCACACACACAGACACGTATGTGCACGTGCTTGTAATTTAAAGAAAAGTAATGGAAATATTTTACTTCTGATCGGACTGTGAATGATTTATCACTTAAAACAAAGGTGGATGATGCGTTTTCTGTCTGTGTACCTTTCTTTGACCAAACTACGTCCAGAAATTATTCACGGAGCTTCACTTTATCCACATTTTGTTATTTTACAATATTGTTCCAAGTTGTATTAAATTAATCTCTTTCCTCAAAATTCTACAATATTTGGGATTATTGAAAATTTATTAAAAACAGAAAACTAAGAAATCACATTTATGCAAGTGTTCACAGCCTGAAGCTGCACACGGAGCTCAGACACGTCCTGTTTCCACTGATCATCTTGAGATGTTTCTACAACTTTAATGGAGTCCACCTGTGGTAAATTCAGCTGATTGGAGTTGATTTGGAAACACAGCTGTCTGTAGAAGGTCCTACAGTTGACAGTAAACACCAAGCATGAAGTCACAGGAAGTGTCTGTAGACCTCAGAGACTGGACTGTGTTGAGGGACAAATCTGGGGAAGGAGACAGAAACATTTCTGCTGCTTTGAAGTTTCCACTGAGCTCATTGAGCTCCATCATTCATACATGGAAGAAGTTTGGAACCACCAGGACTCTTCTTAGAAGTGGTCGTCTGTTTAAACCGAGTGTTCAGGGGGAAAGAGCCTTCGTCAGGGAGGTGACCAAGAACCTGATGGTCAGAGCTCCAGAGTTCTTCTGTGGAGAGACGAGAACCTTCCAGAAGAACAACCATCTCTGCAGCAATCCACCAATCAGGCCTGTATGGTGAAGTCCAGACAAAAGCCACTCCTTCATAAAAGACACATGGCAGCTTGTCTGGAGTTTGACAGAAGAACCTGCAAGATTCTCAGAGAAACTAAACTCTCTGGTCTGATGAGACAAAGATTGAACTCTTTGGTGTGAAGGCCAGGCGTCATGTTTGGAGGAAACCAGGCCAACACCATCCCTACAGTGAAGCATGGTGGTGGCAGCATCATGATATGTTGATGTTTCTCAGCAGCAGGAACTCACAGACCAGTCAGGATAGAGAGAAAGATGAAAACAGCAACGTACAGAGACATCCTGGATGAAAACCTGCTCCAGAGAGCTCTGGACCTCAGACTGGGGTGACAACAACCCAAAGCACATGGCCAGGATCTCAGAGGAGGGGCTTCAGGACCACCCTGTGAAGATCCTGGAGGGGCTTCAGG